CACAGCTTCAGGTTTCCTGCAGAAGAATAGGCTGCTTAGCACGGCGGTGAGTTCCCCATCAACGGCAGTCAGTAAGCACAGTGTGTCTGAGCACCTGTCCTCACATGCTAAATAGGAGTTTTTGATGTCCTGAGTCATACTTTTGTGTTCATGTGAAGAAAACTATTACAAATTTCTTTGGTTTCAAAAAAGTAGTGTTCGCTATTTTTTTTACAAAGTTATAAATTAAAAATTATAAGTTAAAAATTAAAAAATTTAATGAGATGCGTGTAAAGCAGTTAACACGGTACTTGGTGCAAAGGAGTGTTGAAAGAATCATGGTTTTTCTTTAAGCTTTTAAGTTCAGCTTACAAATCTTATTATTTTTTCTATAAGCCTGACAAGTTTTGACAAGAAAGAGGATTTTTAAAATTTAATAAATTAAATGCCATTAAACATTGTGAACTGCATTTACAAATTTAATACATTAAATTTCTTTTCTTAAGAACTTCAGTGATCTGACTCTAAATTGATCCATTCTTAAGTTCTCTTAAATGTTTCGGAAGTGTTTATATAAAGTCAGTAAAAAAATTCACCATGAACTCACCAATTTAATTACTCAGTGGCACATTTAAAAATTGCTATCACAAGATTAATCTGTAAGATGCCAATTTTTCTTATATACAAGTACTTAGAAATAGTAAATATACACAGAATGTTTGGCAAGTACTATGTATTTGATTCCCTTAATATCTTTACTTTATCCTAAATCTCCTATGAGTTAAAGACACAATGTATTCTAAAGAAATAATATTTTTAGATACAATTTTATTCCCATTTTTTTCACATTTTTTTCTGTTTTTTTTTTTCTTTTCATGATAACAGCCTACCGTTATTAAATAAATAATTATGCATTCCAAACATTTTGAAGGTTTCCTTGCCAAGAAAATTTTGGAAGATCGCCGTCTCAGCTGACTGAGGCTACTGATAGCAAAGACATGTGGTTTGGCAGACAGGATTGTGAGATCTGGAAGGCAGGACATCCAGGGAATTTCTGCCAACCATTCTAACATGCAGGCTGGGTCCATTTCTATGGCCACTATGTCAAGAACTATGAAAGTAAAAAGGGAGGCGATCATGTAATTTTTGGTGTGTTACCTAATATTAAGTTAGCCTTGAACGCGTTCACTCCATCTGCTCTCTTTCCATCCATCTTACCTCTTAGGTCTACACTTTTTTCAGATATGACAATGATACTTGATTGAATGTTGGGCTCTTCCGGTTCTCACTTTACTTTGTAGGCACAACTTACAAATTAATCTAAAAAGTTACCAAAGGAATTTTCCAAAATTGAGAGGGAGATGAGACTAGATCACCCCTTTGTTTTCTTTGATTTCTTGATTCTGTGTTTTGGGTATACCAGAGGATGCTATGGCCCCTGTGACTCACAAGAGTGCCAGTGATGGAGAGAGGACCCAGTTTAAGAAAAGAAGGCATATTCAGACATATGGACCTTAAATTCAGTAGCACAGTGTTGAGATAGTGATGCCATTGAAATGAAGGGGAATTTGGGGGAGGTCATCCGTCTTCAGGGTGAAGCAACAGCTCACAATACAAAGAGGATCTCTAAGAATAGTAGTGAGGAGTAGTGAGGAGGAGGAGAGCACTCATGGTAAGAGGTTGGAAGTGCGGGGAAAGAGGAAGTGTGGAAGGAGTGCTCCCACACACCGCTTGTAAGCATGGAGACTGGCGTGGCTCCAGAAGCAACTTGCCCACGTAGAGGAAAACCCCACACTCCTCAGAACCCAAACTAACTACAGCTCTTTTTAAGGCACGAATTCTTTTTTAGGACCATATCGTTACTTATGAAATAGTATAGAATATAAGCCAGTATTAATGTGGAAAATAGCTTAATAATGATCACAGTGAAACCCTAGGAAAATTTAAATGTCCAACAGTCGGGCATGCTTTGCTCATCTCTTAAACTGAATATTGTATAGCCACTCAAATAATATTCTGAAACAAATCTCTTTCAAAAAATTAATAAGACTGGAAAAGATGTATATGGAATATTAAATTTATATAAAGAAGCAAGATGTAAAGACCACATATACAATGTTGTCTTGTTATGAGTGCTTTGATATACTTTATTTATAAAATATATTTTTTATAAATATACTTCTAATCAATTATCCCCTCTTCCGAACGCTGTCAGTGATCCTGAGGACATGACCTCACAGATGATCTCAAAGTAGCTGCTCTATGCCCACCTCACCTGCCAGCAGCCCCCATGTGCCCTGGGTCATATATTTTAAAGTGTTTTATATATTTTGAAAATGTATTTTCCAAGTTAAAGAAGTATCTATTATTTTTGTAAAATTGAAAGAGAAACAAAAACAAAAATCTTTTAAAAACATTTTTTGCCCTTCTAATATCATTTGGACAGGCAACACTCCAAAATAAAAACCAGAATGGCTGGGTGTGGGGGCTCACACCTGTAATCCCAGCACTTTGGGAGGCCTAGGCGGGCGGATCACGGGCTGAGGTCAGGAGTTGGAGACCAGCCTGGCCAACATGGTGAAACCCCGTCTCTACTAAAAGTACAAAAATTAGCCAGGTGTGGCAGCAGGCGCCTGTAATCTTATCTACTCGGGAGGCTGAGGCAGGAGAATCGCTTGAACACGGGAGGTGGAGGCTGCAATGAGCCGAGATTGCGCTGCTGCACTCCAGTTTGGGTGATACAGCGAGACTCCATCTCAAAAAAAAAAAAAAAAAAAAAAAACAAAAAACAAACAAAAAAAAAAACCAAAACAAAAATGTGTAAGATCCAGATGAACACAATGTGAAGGAAACCAGCGGATGTTACACTGTCAAAGCTCATGTCACATAGAAGTTGAGCAGAAATAGAAAATAGGCCACTGACTTTGTCTAAAAAGTTACAATAAATTATAATAACCAAGAGTTATTGAAATACGTATGGGCACTAGGCATTGGGTTAAACATTATCTCATTCAGTTCTTATAAAACATAAGTCTTCTAAGAGAAATATGATCACTAGCTCCATCCCACCTGTGAAGTAATGAGGGCACCGAGGGTTACACAGTGTAGTCAACGCCCGCCACTCAAGCATGGACTCTGTGTGCATAACCACTGTGTGCAATTATTGCCTTGTTGCTTGGGAATTTGATTCTGAAAGGGAGAAAAACACTGAACGTTGGTGGAAAGGGAGAGTAGAGTTAAGGGCTGGGTTTATTTTGTCCTTGTAATATTGTGACATTTGGACATATTTAAAGGCAGTAGAAAAGGAATTTGCAAAGAGGGAGGGAGAGCTAAAAGACGGATGTTAGGAAGAGTATTTTTTCAGCATCGAGATGGCCGGGGCTCAGGAAACAGAGGGGGCTGCTGGCAGGTGAGGCGGGCACAGGGCAGCTCCTTTGAGATCATCTGTGAGGCGGTGTCCTCAGGATAGCTGATGTCTTACAGGGGAGGGGAGGATCGACTGGAAGTGTGGTTTTCTTGACATTTTGTTAAAGCGAGTGTCGGGTGGGGGCTGACAGACAAAGCATGCTGAGGAGGCCTGGACAGAGGAACCCTGAGGAGTAAGCCGAGCCCTGGGGCCAGGCTGCTGTGAGCAGGTTTACGAGCCAGGCGGGCTCAGCTGGCAGACCCTGTCCACGAGAGCTCTGTGGTCTGGAAGCAGGGGCCAAGAGAGAGGAGTGGTGGCGGTGGTGGAGGAGAAGTTCCAGAATCTGAAGAGCTGCCCTGAATGGCCAATGCTGGTTGGGTGCCCAGAGGAGGCAAGGGTGGTTGGGACCGGGGGAGTCCAATGACAGGAAAATTTTAGGGGAGCAAGGGCTGTCGGAGGCACTTTGTGATTCAAAGAGATGAGAGGCAGGGAGGTGATGGTGAGAGAGGAAGCAGAAATTTGGAGATGTTACACTGCAGTCAGTCCCACTTGGTGTTCAAGAACTTGGTGGCAGTTTGTCCAAAGGGGAACAGTCAGGTCAGGGTTTCTCATGTGCCATCAGAATGCATGTTAAGAACCCGAGGATGATAGCAGAGTGCAGAGCATAAAGAAGATACAGCCTGATCCAGGCACTGATGCAGCTCATGTGAGTCCTGCAAAGGGGTTGAGAGGGATGTGGAGAAACAGGGCTGGGGGCAGAGGGCAGGACCAGGAGAGATGGTGGTTTGGACAGGTGGCAGGGTCATCACTTGCTGAGATATGAAGATAAGGGGGAATAAGCTCAGGGAGGTTGTGGGGATCACATAGGATCAAGGAGTAGGATGGCCCTTCGTTTCTCTTCCCCTGTTAGGATGGGGAGTGGCAGAGATGAACTAGGATTTGTTGCCCGTTTCATGTGTCATACCCAAGATGCTCCATCAATATTAACTCTAATTTTAACTTTAATATTAACTCTAAACCCATTTTAGAGATGAAGACATTTAGACTTGGAGAGAGGTAATTCGTCCAGGCCCACATGGTTTGTATGTGATAGAGTAAGGATTCAACCCTGACTTTTTAGCACTAAAGCCTATCCTGTTCTCAGTCATAAACCTTGGTGATGCCCCCTCAACAGGAGAGGCTGGAAGCTTCCTCAGAGGCCGAGACTCCTGAATGTGGCTCCTGCTCCAGGTGCACAACTTAGTTTCCCTGAGGAGGGAGAGAAACACAAGGTGAAGGTGACCCTGATGGGTCTCACGGGCTCAGGGGTGAGGATGTGGAAAGGAGGCCAAGTTGAGAAGGCCCACGGTGCTCACAGAGGCCGTCATTTCATGGTAGTCAGTACCGACCCAGCGCTTCCGTCTCAGGAGAGGCTGAGGGCATCACACAAAGCTAGTGCGACATCGGCTGGTTGGTCAGCTTGCCATGAGGCTGGTAGAGGGAGCACTGAGTGATCTCATCCTATATTCTGCTTCCTTTTCTTCCCTGCGTGACTTGCAGAGCACTGAGGGGACCCTAACGATGATGAATTACTGAGGCATTTCAGCACCTTGGCTCTGTCTCGCTTCCCCTCCAGGGAGGAGCTGTCATGAACAGGGATACCAAGCGGTGTCTGGAGATGAACAAGGACCCTTCGGGTAGCCACGTGTTTGTGCTCCAGACCTGTACCACGCAAGTGTGGGAAATCCAGCCACCATCAGAGACTGGGATCGGACTAACAGCCAGTGATCCTCAGACAGCGCTGGATCTAGGACATTAGTTCTTGCAAGCGGAACGGCTTCTACTCCCAACTTCTTTCTCAGTGAGAAAGAATGTGTGTGTGTGTGTGTGTGTGTGTGTGTGTGTGTGTGTGTGTGTTTATGGAGACTTCAGGTGGGGCCTGTACGTGTGCTGGGATGGCTCTGTTGGGGAGAGGAGAGGAAACTCTGATGCCTCGTCCCCAGCTTCCCTGGGAAGGTCGTGATATACATCAAATGCCATTCTTGGAAACTCCTTGAAATAACCAGCATCTTTTGGCTGTTACGTGGGGAGAGAACGAGGAGGATGGAAGTTTATCTTTGACTTCTGCCCACACTGTTTAGCCTTCCTTCCCAACAGCTACCGTCGCCATCTGCCCCACACCTCCTCCCCGGCTCGTCTGCTCGGGGACTCCCCAGGCTGCGGGGGGCCATTCCACGTGAGAGGCTGGGCCCTCCTCAGGCCAGCAGCGTGACAGCTCTCCAGGTGGCACTAATTCTCCCTCCTGCCTGGGCTGTCCTGAGAGATGCAGCAAATAGGCAAGTAACTGTTAAAAATTCGTCCATTCACCCTCCCATGGCAGTTTTATTTGGATTATCAATCTCTCCCACACCAAAGAGATTCTGGAGGCTGAAGGGAAGAGAGAAGGCACCTTGAGTTACCACAGCTGTCCAGGGGACAGGGTGTTGAGAAGGGTAAGATCCAAGGCCATCAGAGCCTTTCTCTTAGTAGGTCATAGCATTTAATGATGTAATTACCTATTTCCTCCTACTACTCTTGCAAGTTATGGAGAAGATGAGGCTTGACTCAAGGGGCATCACTTGTTGGGGGCAAAGAAGAGATTGCAGGCAAAATCTTAAAACCAGGGATTCTATGGCTGTCCACTGGCTAAATATTTTCTGCTAGTTGGTGAGTTGGGAAAATCTATCTCAGCCTGGCAATTTTTGGCAAGGTCTTGGAGGCTGGTGGGACTGGGCATCATGGTGGGAGAGGCGGTAGGATGGCCCTGTGTGTGTGTGTGTGTGTGTGTGTGTGTGTTGTGTTGTGTTGTTGTGTTGTGTTGTGGGATTACCCTTCAAGTATGTGCTCCCAGAACCCCTTCTTCAGAGGGTCACTTTTTTCTTTTAATCCCATGTCAGGGCTGCCTGGGAATGATTTTGGGAATCATTAGGTTTTGCATTAGACAAGCAGGGCAGTGATACTTTGGTACAGAATTTAATAAATTAAAACTTTTAAAAATGATCTTTTAAAAGTGTACAGGTTATAAATGTACAGCCTTATTAAAATTTCCCTGTGAACACTGCCATATCAAGAACTAAAATTACTGTAGATAAGATTTTATGATGAAAAAATCAAGGGGCAAGATGAGCGTTAAGCAAATGTATAACTTCTAGCTTCTGCCTGGCAAATCGAAGGGAAAATGCAATTCACAGGAAAGTTTTGAAATAGCATGTACTCAGTGGAAAGTTGGGTAAAAGAAAGACACGATATCCTTAAACATATGAAAAGATGTTTAACGTCATTCGTATTTAGAGAAATACAAATTAAAACTGTATTGAGATGCTTTTCACTTAAATTGGTGAAAAATAAAAAGTAGATCAGCACATGCTTTTGGAAGGGCTGTGGGAAACAGGCAATCTTATACATTAACGGTAAGGATGCAAACTGGGGATTTGTAGCAGTATCTAAAGATACTGTATGTACATTTTCTATTTGTGCCAGTAATTCCACCCCTAGAGAGTTACCTCCAGAAATAAGAAAATATTTACACACAAGGTAATTCTGTGCAGTATTCATTGTAACTGAAAAATGTTTGAAAAAAAAAAAAAACTATGTAGCTGAACATCAGAGAATAATTGAAAACCTCCATACAACGAAGTACTATGCAGCTATAATAAAGAACAAAGACTGTCTCTCTGAACTGATACGGGGTGATTTCCAGTATCTTTTGTTAAGTGGAAAAAGAGAAATAGTATCTACACTGTGTACCTTTTAGGTAAGAAATAAGGGAAAAAATATTTCTGTAGATATTCATTTATGCAAAGTGAAACGAAAGAAGAGTAAAAGAGAAAATAATTAGATTGGTTACAATGGGTGGTGGTGGTTGGAAATAGGGCAGAAAAAATTGGGAAGAGGAACAGGATAGAAGGGATGTGGGAGAGTGACATTTCTCTAACTATATATTTGCTATAGTTTTGACTTCTAGAACCATATTATATTTCAAATGCTTAAAATATAAATATATAAAATCAATAAAGATAGAAACCCAAAATGGAGTATACACAAAAATAAGTGAACCTAATTATATTTCTATCTTATAAATGAACACATACATACTCACTCGTGCACACACACGTTGATCGCACCCAGCATGCATCATGAAGATCTTGTTTCTACATATTTTCCAGTAAAAGGAATTACGAGTCTTTGGAAAAATAGCTAATTTTAGGGCTGGGGCTGGGATATCTTTCTATTTTAGAAAGTTATAAACTGCTTAAAAAATTATAGGGACATGTCACAAACCACAATGACCAGGCCGAAGGGGCTTCCACTGGCCAAATCTGGGACATTTGAATATTAAAATAAATAACGGTAATTTTAACTGAGTGATTAACATTCACATCACCAGCTGTTGGACAAACAGATATCATGGACCTCCTGATACAATGCAAGAAGAACACAATAACCCTTCTATGGTTTTCCTGCCAAAATACAGAACCGAAACCTGTAATCTTGAGGAAACATCAATCAAACCCAAACTGAGGAACATTCTTCAAAAGAAATGGTCTGTATACTTCAAAAATGTCAACTCTGGAAGATGAAGAAAGCCGGAGGAAGTGTTCCAGATTACAGGAGACTAAGGGAACAACAAAACATCATGTGTGATCCCAGATTAGATCCCGGACCTGAGGGCTTTTTCCCACTTTGCTTGTAAAGGACAGCAGTAGACAACAGGTGAAGGTTGAATAAGGTTTGTTCATTAGATAATAGTATTGTATCCTGATTTTGATCATTGCACTCTGGGTATATAAGAGAATGTTCTCTATTTTACAAAACAGTCACTGGATGCAGTTGGAGGGGAGGGACGTAATCTATGAGATTTTATATAGATAGATGATGGATGGATGGATGGATGGATGGAGCAGTAGGCAGATTCGATGGAGGAGTGGATGGATGGAGATAGATAGATAGACTAAAAATAGATCGAGGGATAGACAGACAGATGGAACTGGGAATGATAGAGCCAATGTGGAAAAGTGAATCTGGATGAACAGTAAAGGGTTTATAAGAATTCTCTGTATTATGTTTGCAGCTTTTCTGTACATCTTGAATTGTTTAAAAATAAAAAAAATTAAACTCAGAGACTGCCTATCTAGATAGACATTAAAAATCTCTCCCCATTGAACTGCAATGATAAGCAATAGCAGCTTAATTCAAGTTTGGTGTACTTTATTTGAGGGAAATCTGTGGTTCTCTCACACTTAGAATGAGGATGAAGAAAGCTCTGTAGGCTTCCCAGCTTCCCAGAGGTCCCGAGCTTCTGCCAGCAGCTCTGTTCTCCAGGGTTGCCTGTTAGTTATGACAAAGAAAGTATTGATTTGCTTCCTTGGCCCTAAAACTACCTATTCGTTCCTTGTCCAAAGATCTACATGAAAGTCTGATTATCTGGTCACTGTCTACTTCTGGCCTCCACTGGCCAGGACATGTGAAGGTTGTCTCTGTGACTGTCTTCAGTCCACTCAGGAAACTGTTCCCTTGGCAACCAAGTTAATTATTTACTGATGCCTCTCTCTCTGATTTTTGGAGAGAATATTGGAGCTCTACTACGAGTCAGTGTTACCTTATAAACAACAGTAAATATGACGAGTAAAGTGGTCGATGACCCTGGAGTATGAAAGGTCACCAAAACTCCAACGGAGAAGTCCGTGTTTTATTCCAGGAGCTGGATCTCTGGAACTATGGACCTGTCATTCTTTCCCTCTCTTTGGCTCAGAGAGTGAAAAATCCCTGGGGCATTTTGCAAATGGTCATTTTCTCCCCATCCCACATTACCTCTCAATTTCCAGATGGCTGTGCCCAATTTGCTCCCTCATGGGAGTAAGCCACGCTACAGCAGCCTTAAAGAACCACAGTTTACTGTTACAAAATGTTCCTCTCTTGTTGACCCTAAAGTAACAGGCTTGTTCCTCTTGTCATTCCACCTATCAAAAACTAAAATTACAAGGCAGCCTTGATTGTCTTCCTCCCCACAATGTCAAACTTCAAACAGAAATCCCAGGACTGCAGCTTGGATCTGTCCTGCTCTTGATCAGAGCCACTACTTCCCCAGGATTCTGACACTTTTCCAAAAGGAGCAGGGCCTGGAGACTCAGGGGTCACGGCCATCATGTGCCTGCTTGTTCCTCTTCTCTAGCCCGGAAGCATCACCCACATGAGGCTCGAGCATTCCAACTGTCTCTTCAGAGGGAGCAATTTTCTCATCTGCATAAGACCTAAAGGACACAGAGCTGGGAGCCATGCCGTAATGCATTGACGTTTCTAGAATTTTAAAGTTAATCTCTTACAGAATTCCCTTATTTTACTTCCAATACATTTTAACAATAGGAAATGTGCTTTTAGCGAATTTTCTAAACTTAAAGAAATCTGTGAAGTCCATTTAGAGAGAATAATGAAATAGAGTGAGGTCTGTATAATGTCATGGTGAGTTAATTATCACTAGAATTGAAGGGTAAAATCAACTGGTCATGACTTTAAGTTATAATTTTAACAAACACAATTTTCTCCCACAAACATTTTAACAAATGTGGTTTCAAGGAGAAATATGTCTCAAGATTCCAAATCTACCATCTTTTTGGAACTATAAAAACCAAATCTGTCAATATCACCAGAAGGCTGTTTGGCTTCCAAAGCAAAAAAAAAAAACAAAAACAAAAACAAAAACAAAAAAACCTAGGAAGAAACTCAACTTTATATAACAAAATAAGTAGGTA